AGTTTAGTTATTTGAACTTCAGTTTGAGTGTTAATTAATAAACTTTCTCTTATTCTTAGTTCTTGTTCACTGTTAGTCTTAGCAAATATGATAGTAACAGTCTTCCTACACAACCCAACTGGGGTGTAGTTAAGTATAAAAATTTCTGTAGTCCTAACCATATACTAGGAAATAGGCTATACTGATTAGAAATCAGCTCTTCAAGTTATGTTATTGAACTTTCCCTCAGGTGTAATCAAGATGTTTTTAAGCCTATAGGCAGATTATAGTAATTTTTCAGGTATAAAGATCTAATACCTACATTACAAACATCCAATGTGGCATATGGATATTAATGTCCTACATGTTTTTTTAAAGTTATATTGGATCAGACACTAGGTGGTTAACTGTTCACATACGAGAACATTCAAATTTAAGATCCATTGTCGTCTTCCAAAATTAAGAGACGTGCTGAAAGAATGTAATGAACTTATAAGTAGAGGACAAATTTCAAACCCTCTCTAATAAAACCATCGGTGAACAAGAACTGCAAATAAAGGAAAGTCTTAATTCATCAACTCAAACCAGAATTGAGCATGCTAAACAGTATGGTTTGTTTAATGCTGAATGTGTTAGTGATATGTTACCTTTATAAGACTTGCCTAAGAGCCAGAGGTTTTCCTAGGCACTGGCACATGCCCCAATTCTATTTTGCAGTGCTCTAACTCCCCAGTTGGTGTCTTGAAAAATCAAAATAGAAAACTGCGATCGATATTTTACTGATTGGCAAATATTCCAACACCTACGAGCCGGAGCCACGAATCTTTTAAAGTACCTAGCAATGCCTCTGCTAATAGCTGATTATCATCTTTATAAAACTATAGATTTCAAGAGTGATTTTCATTGAAAAAAAAAAGACTGTACCAAAAATAAGTTTCTCACTTCAAAAAATGTACACTTGTAGACATTACTAACTTTATTCTGTGTGGTTTAATAAAGCTGTTTCATTAACCAGGGAGCTTGGAGCTCAAGAAGTTATGCGACAGAGAAAAGAAAAAGATGCATCATCTGCTGAACGTCATGTGGCTCTTATCGAACAGGAGAATTCCTCTTACAAGTAAGAGTGTGCTATTTGTATGTCATGTCTTTTTGTAAACTGGATATATTTTTGTTTCAGGTTTGATTGTAGCCTTACAGTTAGCTTGTTGTGGATTGGAAAGTCCAAAGTATGAGTTTAGATTTTACTGAAGAAGCTTCATACAATTAGCTGCAGAATATCCATCCTGCTTTTCATTTTAAAGTAGCCTCCTGGGGTGAATTAGGGATGGCTATGCATGCATCATCTGATCCCTGTCTTGACTTTTTTATGTGCATTGTTTAAGATGTCATTTAGATTGGGAATACCAAATTCTAAAAATTTTTTATGTTAATTATTTTGACTTGAATTCCATCAGGCGTGATTAAAACCTAACTATTGAATACTTATATCATTTACTAAATTTTATGAGGCCTGGCATGGTTTAGTGATTAGGGAGCTGGGCTTGCTATACTTGGGTCGTGTGTTAGAATCCCATCACCAAACATACTTGTCTTTTTAGCCGAGGGGGTATTATAATGTGATGGTTAATCCCACTATTCATTGGTAAAAGAGTAGCCCAAGAGTTGGCGGTGGGTGGTGATGACTAGCTGCCTTCCCTCTAGTCTTACACCGCTAAATTAGGGACGGCTATCACAGATAGCCCTCATGTAGCTTTGCGTGAAATCCATAACAAACAAACAATCTTTTAGATCCTGCCAATTCTCAAATGTGAGGATTGAGTGGGAATAGTTGATATAGGTGGCATAATACTATTGGTGGAGAGTAGTCACATGATATGTACATGTTCAACAGTGGTGGGAAATTGGTAGTATATGTAGACAGGTGTGCTGGCTGTGGCAATTTTTTTAGCAATGCTTGGAGGGCAGAAAGAAAGTTGACATAGCATTTCAACACAAAAAATGTTAATGTAAGGCCATTAATTTTACATGCCTTTGGTAATACATTGTAGTAATGCTTATCTTTTATTTCAGATGATAAACATTTTGGCCATTTCATGATCATATAAACTATTAGAAAGGATAATAATTGTTCTAACCATATTTAGTCTGAAAGAAATGCTTATGTGCAATTTGTGGCTTCTCATCAACTGGGTTTCCTGTCTATTTATAGCCTCGTGACTATGCAGATGTTCAACTGTAATGTTGAATATGTCACGATAGATAAGTAATAAATTTCAACCACAATAAGTAAGTACTTTTATCAATGTGGTTGGGTGTGGCCTTTTGGTTAGCATTCTGGCTTGTGAAAACAAGGGTCCAGGGTCCGTGACCCTGCATCCATTAAACTGTAGTCTGCAGTTTGGGGCTGTGGGTACATTATACGATTGATGAGTAAATTCCATTATTAAACTCGAGTAATCCAAGAGTGGTATTATCTAACTGCTTTCCATCTAGTCCATCACTTCAGAATTAGGGACAGCCTTGTGTGAATATTCCAAACAAATACACAATTTGAATCAAAGTAAACCTGTATGTAGTCTGTTATAACTAGACAAGAGGTAACATTCTTCAGATAAGTGTTTTAATTATTTACAAACCAGCTACTTACAGAGTAAATGTGGTTCACTGTAAACATATTTTGTAATGTGATTATAAAGTTATTTTTTTAATATTCCTTTTAACAGGTACTGTTTATCTAATAAATGGTTATTCAACGTAAACACAGTTTGTGAAGTAATTAAATAATAGATAAATGATTTACATTGTATTGAAATAAATTATCATATAAAGTTAATAACTTGATGGTCACAAAGGTTCACCCAAAGTTTTCTTACTAAACTGAAGCATCATTATTTGATCACTAAACTAACCAACTAAGGAAGGCATATTATACTAGGAGGATCTTAACATTCTGTTGAGTTTTAGGCATTCTCTCCTGTTTCCACAGTGGTTATGGTGTTCCCTCCTGTTTCATTGTACAATGGTAATGGTGTTCCCTCCTGTTTCCACAATGGTAATGGTGTTCCCTCCTGTTTCCACAATGGTAATGGTGTTCCCTCCTGTTTCCACAATGGTAATGGTGTTCCCTCCTGTTTCCACAATGGTAATGGTGTTCCCTCCTGTTTCCACAATGGTAATGGTGTTTCCTCCTGTTTCCACAATGGTAATTCTATTCCCTCCTGTTTCATTGTACAATGGTAATGGACGTTACCTACTGTTTCCACAATGGTAATGCTATTCCCTCCTGTTTCCACAATGGTAATGGCGTTCCCTCCTGTTTCATTGTACAATGGTAATGGCGTTCCCTCCTGTCTCCACAATGGTAATGGCATTCCCTCCTGTTTCATTGTACAATGGTAATGGCATTCCCTCCTGTTTAAGCACTGGACCAGGCCACTGTTTTTACAAATTTTTAAATTTAAGAATTTTGTTTTTAAATATTGAGGTACATATGAAGTGACAATTAAAGGAATGATATCTAGGTTTTTATATCTAAGTTGTTGCATCATGGACTGGAGATATTAATATTTTGTTCTTGTGCACAGGGCCCAACTGGCAACAATGAAACAGGAAATGGATGAAACTAACAGGAACTTTAAGAACCAAGTGGGTTTTATTTAAACTTGTGTTTTATTAGTTTTAAGGGTAGCTGAGATTTCTAAAACCAGATCATAATTTCATCTGACATTCGGGTTCAGTTATATGTTCACTTTGAATATGTATAATGATATGAAGACTTTGTTATGTAACTTGAAAAGCTGCATGATGGAATTAGTTTTCATTTATAGAACCAGTTATTAGTTCAAATGTTAAAAAATTCCAAACTAAGAGTTCAATTTACATTATATTGTTTTCAAAACTTGGCAAGTGTGAAGCAAGAAAATTTTCAAGTTGATTTAAGGCATTTTATGTGCATTTAAATATAATGAATGAGAAAAAAAAAGGCACTGAAATAGAAATTAGATTCGGTACGTGGTGGAGAAATGTGTTATAATCTTTGCTATTTTTATTTATTTCATCAACGTTATTGAAAACTAATCACATAAAGACTTTTATGTAAGCATAGTTTTATAAATATCCTGACGATTGAGTATAAGCACGATAAGAAACTCCAGCGAGATGGTTGAGGAAATAAAACCATCTAGCTTACCAACCTTGAATATTGCAGAAGCTAGAAGGTAAAACGGGAATAAAAAATATATTATTGTCAGTTGTCTAAACACAATAATGGTTCAAATTGATAAAAAAAAAAACACCTTGGGATCGACTGCATACAGTTATATTACTTTTGTTTACTGTTTATTTCAGCTAAATGCAGTTTTTCTTTTTTACATTTTTAGGGGCAAAACAATAACATAAAATATGACAGTTAGTTTTTCAAGTAATGTTCACTGTTACAGAAAATTTCTTTATTTTTTTAATTTATGCAGTGTCATGAAATCTGTTAATTGTCTTTTTCTGTCATGTTTTCAGATAGCTGCTGAAGAGAAGAAAGCACATGACAACTGGGTAGGCACTCCTTAAGTTTGTGTATCTTGTTTGTTACATATGTATTGCTGGTTGGATACTCCTTGAAGTTTGTGTATCTTGTTTGTTACATATGTATTGCTGGTTAGGTACTCCTTAAGTTTGTGTATCTTGTTTGTTACATATTTATTGTTGGTTAGATACTCCTTGAGTTTGTGTATCTTGTTTGTTACATATTTATTGTTGGTTAGATACTCCTTGAGTTTGTGTATCTTGTTTGTTACATATTTATTGTTGGTTAGATACTCCTTGAGTTTGTGTATCTTGTTTGTTACATATGTATTGCTGGTTGGGTACTCCTTAAGTTTGTGTATCTTGTTTGTTGCATATGTATTGCTTAAATTTGTATGTTTTGTTTGTTACATATGTATTGCTGGATGGGTACTTTTATAAGTTTGTATGTTTTGTTTGCTAGATATGTATTGCTTGTTGGGTACTCCTGAAATTTATCTGTTTACCTTGTTTGTTACATATGTATTTCTGGTTCACATTTTCTTGCATTTCTCAGTGTATGTTTATTAGATTTCTGGGTTGGGCAAAGGTACTTGTTAATTTCTGTGTAAGTTTTCAAGGTACTGAGAAAGTTTTTAATTGTTAACTTCATTTATGCCATAACTTATTTCTTTTAATTTGGTTACAGATTGCTGCTCGTGCAGCAGAACGTAAACTCGAAGAAGCTAAGCAGGAAGCTGCCAGTCTCCGTCAGAGGTAATTGTCATTTATCTTGTATAGGAATTTTATTTAGTGAGTACTGTGTTCAATTAGGCATATTAAATTGGTTTAGAGTCACAGTGGAATGGAATGTATCAGAGCTACATTTTGTCATTGTGTTCAGCATTTAGTAGTAGTGTGATGCCACCAAAAATCGATCGCTTTTGGGAAGGGTATGTAACAGCCCTTTTAATGATACAGAATACTCATACACTCAGAGTAGCCTAAGAGTCGGTGTTGTTGACTAGCTGCTCTCACTCTTTTCTTTCACTGCTAAATTAAGGACAGCTTGTGCAGATAGACCTTTTGTGTAGCTTTGTAAAAAATTGAAAACATACCAAACTTAATCACATTGGAAAGCAAAGGAATGTGCAACAACTTAGGGCACCTTAACCATCTGTAAAGTTACATGTAACAAGTTGTACCCAAGACATGATAAGGAAGTGTAGCATTTTATAACTAGGTGAGAATCCACAAACACAAAGATTAGCAGTAAAAGTCATCCATGTGTCCCAGGCAATAGTATGCAATATAACCAAGAAAAATTTCCATCTGATAAAGTTATGCAATGTATATGTACACAGGTTGCTTTTACAACATATCAGTGCAATTGTCACATATCTCAAGCAGCTGGAGAGTGAAGTGGGTGCTCATGCTATTCCATATAAAAACATTCCAATCAATTCACCAGATGTAGTGCTTATGGATTTCTCTGCAAATAGCTGATAAACTGTCATCCTCATACACTAGATGTATTATGGAAAGCTGCAGGAAAGAAAGGTGTGCTTGGAACATGACAGCTTTGCTACAGTCATTTTTCAGTAGAGACTATGCTGTATGGTTATTGTTAATATGCACCATCATTAGAAAGAGCATAGAAAGACGTGGTGAAGCTCCAAGATAGTTCTAATATAAAATACTTGATCTATGTATAACATAAATCTACATTATTACTTTGATGGAGTTTGTTTTTGTTCTACTCTATAATGTGCAAGCTGCGTTTCCTTTTGTCCATTTAAAAAATGAATTGTCTAACAAGTAATTTTCCCACTTAAAATATTATTCTCATCTGTAGGTTTTCCAGAGAAAGTAAAGAATTCAACAGAAAGTGAAATTCTTAATGTGTAAGAGTTTTCTGGAGAAATGGGAAGTGTAATATAATTATTCACCTTTCCTCCAAGGAGTTCATCCATGTCAGAAATGTGTGTAATTTAAGTGCTGAAATATGTCTAAAAGGATTATTATAACACAAGTTTTTGTTCTTTGAGACAACATTTTAATAAATAATTGACTGCAATTGCCTGTCGAAAGAAAAGGAGCCGACATTTCAGCTTCTGTACTGAGGTCTTCTTACAGCAGGTAGTTGCAGTCCATCGATGTTATCAAACCTATTATGTCTATTCTGCCTGAATTCCACCTTTGTCCTTTTAGTTAAGAGTACTACTACTTCATGGCCTTATTTGATTTGAAGCTGGGGTTTCTGAGAATGCCAGCTTGCTTACCATGTTCAGGTGTTCATCCTAGAATTTTCAGAGATGTTACACCTTTCTCAGTTTCACCTGTAGTTTCTTTGTATAAAAATTTACTTTGTGTAATGACGTTTAAACAGAATAAAGTATACATCAAGTAAAATATTGTCTAGTGAAGCTAATTGAAATGTTGGAGTAGATTTATTAATATTTAGACTGCTGAAACAGAGGTTTTAAAATTGGTATAGGCTAATGATTAAACCATCTAACCTCTACCTTAAGTATACATCAAGTAAAATATTGTCTAGTGAAGCTAATTGAAATGTTGGAGTAGATTTATTAATATTTAGACTGCTGAAACAGAGGTTTTAAAATTGGTATAGGCTAATGATTAAACCATCTAACCTCTACCTTAAGGTAGCCAAGTCTTGGCTACAATGAAAAAACAGATCACATGTAGTAACACTTGAATGAATCATAACTGAAGTTTGTCCAATTAAGCAAACACCAAACTGACTGGTTATATTCATTCTTAGAAACAAAGGGTGACTCGACTGGATAATTTATAGACCTAATTGCTAGACAATTAAGAAACTGCAAATTTGATAGGGACACTTCTAACTTTGAGCATTGTGTGCTACCTTCAATTTCTGCCTTACACTGTTTTCTTGGCAACCTGTTGGTCAGTGATGCTTTGAAGTAGTAACAGTTTACGTTTTTTGTTGGATTTTGTTTTCTACAACAAATAAAAGTTAAATATTAATGTCTTATTATACCATTTAAATTATTCTAAATTTGTGCTTCTTGTGTGTCTTGCTAATGGAATTTAAATTATCTGTCTCTCTTTATTTATGTGTGTGTATGTATCATGCGTGTTTTGTTAAACGAGTTAGCCTACTATAATATTTATTTGGCCACTACCCACGTTAAAGGTAATATAAGATAAAAGCAAGGGAATTACAAATGTCAGTGTTTCAGCATTTAAGAATTAGATATATGTATAATCTATTTCCTTCATTTCAGTTTTAATAAAAGAAAAAAAAAATGATTAAGCACACGAAACAGTTATTGTAATTTTTATCTCAGGCTCACTCTTGTGGAAAGAGACAGGGAATCATTTGGACAAAACCAAACTGATGGAGTGGTTAAGCCTATTTCTACAAGTAAGTGTTTGGACACAACTAATATATATTCTATTTGTTGGATCATTCTCTTTTAATGGAATTGAGTCATAATAAGACAAAACAACCTAATTAATGCCATTACTTGTAAGGTAAAGATGAACTTTTCTTCTTTCAAATATACATACCCATGACACAATAATGTAAGGGTGGGGGGTGAGCCTTAGTGAATACATGTCCTATTATACATAGTCTGCCATTATTCTACAAAGTATGCTCTCAACCAGGGTCATAAAGGTTTCCTGAACAGTGTGTTATGTTGACACCAGATGAGGTGATGTTTGCCCTGCTGCGGGGAACATTATCAAGCCAAAATAATACACTGGCCACAATGCTCTAATATAGTTCTTGGATGTCTGGATATATAGACACTTTACAGATTTTCCCAGGTTGTAGAATACAATACATATCTTAACACCTCTACCAAAACACATATAATGTCAGATTATTCACCTTCTAGATCTACATTTAGCCATCATTGCTCTACTGAGTAGATCACTCTAATTGTCACAGTTTCTGTGTTGACAGACTTTACATGTAACATTTATGTTAGGTATTCATGGGAGCAGTGTATGATTTGTATATCTCAGCTTTTCTAAAGTACCTGTGTTCAGGAAAAACACTAGGCATAGACCTCATAGATAGTGGATGTTCACCTCTGATGATGATTTATAATACATTTGTGGTGAATTTTAATAATTGTAGCTGAACACATTTCTATAATCTTATGCCCTATAGATAGCACACCATTAAACATTGTGACTGTTTTATATGCCAGTTGTCAATGCATTCAGCTGGCTATAATTTATCCTCTCTCTACTTCACATTATTATAATTCACCAGGCTATAATGTATCCTCTCTCTACTTCACATTATTATAATTCAGCAGGCTATAATGTATCCTGTGTCTACTTCACATTATTATAATTCACCAGGCTATAATGTATCCTCTCTCTACTTCACATTATTATAATTCACCAGGCTATAATGTATCCTCTCTCTACTTCACATTATTATAATTCACCAGGCTAT